ACCGTCTGTATCTAACGAAAAATCGTAACCAGAGGTCTAGATTACTCTGGTCCTGTATTTTGGGAGCGTCCGGAAACTGAGGAACGCCCTGGCCTGCCGAAAAATGCTGAGGAAAACTCCCAAGAAGCGATCCTGACAGCAGGGTACCCTCAAAGGACCTTAAAAGGGACCCTAATCGAGAGACCTACCCGCATATTCTTGGATCCGCAGGCAAGCTTTAAAAAACTTCGCCATTCATCCGAAATCCCAAACCCACTCTGACCCCGGCAATTAAACTCTAAACCGAACCCTAAACCCTAAACCCTAAACCCTAATCTAGTGTTTAGATGACCGGGCTCTTAGGCTACTGCCACCGGCCCCGGTGGATGCAGCTTCTGCTCAAGCGACTTCTCAGGCACCGCCCGCTGCTGCAACCGAGAGCATCCGCTGAGGCGGGAACAAGCCACGCCTGTGGCGGTTTAGGGTTTAGGGTTGAGGGTTTAGGGTTTAGGGTTGGCCGTTTTGGGGTTAAGGGCGGGTTTTGGCTTGGTTTAGGGTTCTGGTTGTGGGTTGGCTGTAGGACCAGATGGACCGTGCGAGGGTTCTATAGGCTTCATGGGCAAGATCCAGTCCCATAACCCTAAACCCTAAACCCTAAACCCTAAACCCTAAACCCTAAACCCTAAACCCTAAACCAAGCTATAGTCTCCATTGTATATAGTTCCTTTTTGTGGATACCTTTTAAGATCCTTAACATATGGGTAGTTTTCTAAATTAGGGTCCCTTTTAGGGTCCTTTGTTATGAGGGTGCCGTATTATATTGGGGACCTCAAAGGGGACCCTACTTTTGAGAACAACCCATATAATTGGATAAACCAAAAGAAGGAAGTACACTAGAGATTAACCCTACCTATAGTCTCCGTTGTAGTTCCTTTTTGTGGATACCTTTCAAAATTGGTAAAACCAAAAAAAGGACCTACAATAGAGACCATAGGTACAGTGTCAGGTCTCGAGCTTTGAGTCGCTCGCAGGGGGTTTGAGGTTGAAGGTCGGGTTTAGGGTTTAAAGTTTAGGGTTTTGGGGTTTAGGGTTTAGGGTATTTACAACCTTGAACTCGAAACCAAAACCCCATGTGGCATGTCAGGCTTGCCTCAAAGTAAGTTTCCAGGATAGGCTACCCTAAACCCTAAACCCTAAACCCCTAGACCCTAAACCCCTAAACCCTAAACCCCAAACTCCTAAACCCTAAACCCTAAACCCTAAGCTTTCCTGAATGCGGTTGCCTCGACTTCTAAGGTCCTCACAACCCTCATCTAGACCACCCGCTACCCTCTCTTAGACCCCAAACTAGGTTGGCCCGGCCCTTCCAAGGCTCTGCAATATATTTGTAAATAAGATCTCAATAAGGGAAAATAGGCCTACCTGGCAAATACCAGCCATGATGGGCCACAAGGCCTCCATCTAAGTAGGCTTAGGCTTTAGGGTTTGTGGGTTCAGGGTTTAGGGTCTGGCACTGGGGGCCGCGGTGTTCTGGATGGTTTCGGGCTCCACGTTTAGCGCCCTCTGAAATAGCAGGCGAACGCTGTGATAAGCTTGCTAATAATATAGGAGCCTTAATAATTAGAATAGGGTTCCAATATACTTTTATTTCTAAACTAGTATATGTAGGTAATTATCAAGGCCCCTACACTACCTGACCGCTTCAATAGCCCCCACCTCTGAAACTATGACCGACGGCCCAGCGCCGAGACCTTTGAAGCCTGATCTTAGGGGCTGAGTACCCGAGCCAAATGGGTGGTTGTCAAAATTAGGGTCCCTTTGGGGGTCCGTAATTTAATACGGCACCTAATAATTATTTAGGGTACCCGAAAAGGGACCCTAATTTTGACAACCACCCAAATATCAAGTGAACATTTTCAATGATGGTCGGAGAATCTATGCCCCAAAAGGTTAAAACTTACCTACTCAGCTACTATAACCCTAAACCCTAAACCCTACACCCGAAACCCTAAACCCCTAAACCCTAAATTAATAACCCTAAACCCTAAACCGTAATTGAGGAGCTGCCGCGCTTAAGTGACACCATGGCCTGTCGACCGGCATGGCGGATGCCACCTGCTGCGTGAACATCAAAGAGATTGGGTTTAGGGTTTGGGGTTTAGGGTTTAGGACCTAGGGTTTAGGGTTTTTCTACCCTGATCCTACAACGTCCTTTACTGGTCCTATACTAGAACCCAGAGGGTCCATATACATTGCCATGAATGGAATTCGGTCCCAAAAGACCAGCCTTACAATGGTTTTGAGGGACCTAATTCCATCATAGTAGTACATGTGGACCCTCTTGGCCAATACAGGCTGTATAGGAAGTCATATACTGGTCCTATACTATAATCCTACAACATCTTCTGCTGGTTTTATATTATAAATACAGGCTGTATCAGAAGTCCCTAAACCCTAAACTCTAAACCCTAAACCCGAAGTCCTGAGCACACATCGACCCCCTCGTAGGAAATCTCTGCAAGCTGAATCTTGGCAGTAACCACCGAGACTTCTGCAGCACGCTCTGCCAAACATGCCCTTCGCTGCGCGAGAGCCCGCCACCAAAAAACTTTGGAAGGTTAAGTCTAGCTTGCAAACTCATTATAACTTCCAAACGAAGGCCTAGTTTCAGCTGCTTTGCAATGACGGCCTCTGTGCCGTGCAGCTGACTGTGCGGATAGAGTTGCTGGACGGCAATCATGTTGATGCCATCTTTCATGAAAGCTGACACCTCACACTTTATCATGAGGAGCCAACAGTTCCCATCCGCGGGCAGGTCGCGTTGAAAGAAACGAAGCTGGGCTGGAATGTCTGGGGACCAGAACAGCGGCAAGAAGTGCTCGGGGTAAGGCTCAGGGGCGTTCTTCCTCAAGCTGTCAAACTTCTTCTCGAGGTACTCGGAGTTGTGCTCGGAGTTGTAGAGATTGTGCCCTTGAAAATCCGTTCCCCAACAACCCATGTTGCGAGCTGCGTCTTCACCTTTCAAGAGAATGTAGACTGGCACCACAGTTTCTTCTGCAGTCTGCCGGCGGTCACGCCCTTTTATCTGCTTCCAGACCTCAACATCTGTGATGAGGTCAGTCTTCCCGACGCTCGCAGACTGGAAGGATCCTGACCGGATCCGAACTTTCCTCACGACCCTCGCTGTGACGGCAAGCACCCTGTTTCCTGATCCTGCAGAACTTATAATACGATACTCTACAGTAATATACGATCACATACAATAATATATTATCATATACAATAATGTACCATAATATACAAGTATATACTGTATTACAGTACAGAGATGTACTGAACTATTGAATTCCTGCCCTTTCCGGGAGACAAGCCACCTTCCTGTCTCGAAGGTGCATTTTACAAAGACCGTGTGAGAAAATCGGGAAGATGCACACGTTCAAAACAACGCTCTCGCTTCCTTGACCGCAAAGGTTTAGGGGACTAGGTTTCAGGGTACTTCTGTACGAGACGATCATAAGGATCCTTTCCCCCCATGCCCTACACAGAACCAGCTCCTGGCTATAGTGGTCCATTCCCCTATTCCGCCAGTGTCTACTACTCTTTACGTCAATAAACGGGCCCAAAAGAGTTCAAACTTTGTAAAATTGACCACTTACATATATATATATATATATATATAGGTATGAGACGAAGGACCAAAACGTTTAAAGTTCTCCCGTAGGCTGCTTAAGCGTAAGAACCTGTCAGTTTCAACTCTCCTGACTGAAGCTCACCAGTTTGATGCCAAGAGCCCGGAGCTTCGGACAGGAACGGGGGCTCGTTTGTCTAATTGGGTTTAGGGTTTAAGGTATAAGTTACCATGGGATCTAGAATTAATAGAATGGCTTCCGCATTGTGACTCAAAAACAGTTCCTCAACAACCCCTAAACCCTAAACCCTAAACCCTAAACCCAGTTGTTGGGGGTCCGTATTAACTCAAATCGGGAGGATCCTAGAGCTCTGGGTTTACCTTAGGGTCCGCTGTTTTGTTTAGGGTGTAGGGTATGGGGTTTAGGGTTTAGGGTTTAGGGGAGTCCATATACATTACCATTCTGGAAGTAGGTCCCAAAAGACCATCCTTACAATGGTTTTGAAGGGACCTAATTCCATCATAGTAGTACATGTGGACCCTCTTGGCCAATACAGGCTGTATAGGAAGTCATATACTGGTCCTATACTATAATCCTACAACATCTTCTGCTGGTTTTATATTATAAATACAGGCTGTATCAGAAGTCCCTAAACCCGAAACTCTAAACCCCAAGCCCTAAACCCTAAGTCGTATCAGGGCTTTAGGAGGATCCACAGGCTGTATAAGAAGTCTCAAAACCCTTTGAAGACCCTCTTGGCTAGAGAAGCCCGACGGGTGTTCAATGCATGTTCCTACGTGCTCCTTCATACACGGTTTAGGGTTTGGGGTTTAGGGTTTAGGGTTTACGGTTTAGGGGGTCCAAAGTACCTAGTGGAATGTAGAGCTTTTACGTAGGAATCCTCATGGTGATTTGGTAGCAGACGAATAACTGAAGTGCCAATAGGCAATGGAAGTTGTGATGAATCAGAAATTCCTTCAGTCTCTCTTCAACCTGCTCCCTAAACCCTAAACCCCAAACCCTAAACCGTAATCCCTCAACCCTAAACCCTAAACTCCCACAACCTCAACCCCCGACTCCCCAGCAACACCCCAATGCTACAGCCCTACAAGGAAGACCATGTAGCACACTACAAAGCCCTACTGTAGATAGTATTAGGGTTTAGGGTTCTGGGTTAAATCCCGAATTACCTTAAGGACCCTAAACTGTGGGAATAATGGTCTATTCCTTGCTATGGGTAATGCAGGATTTGTACCATCAACCGGATCACCCCATGAGCCCTAGATGCTAAAACATGGCGAAATTCACAAATCCCCAATCCCGAATCCGGCCACTCAATCCCCTAAACCCAAAACCCTAAAAACCCCAAACCCTAAATCGTAGCCCAGCGGCCTTGCGGCTACGACCATCATGCATGCAGAAAGCCTTCCAGGACGGTTTAGGGTTTAGGGTTTAGGGTACCCCAGAAAGAATCAGGACTAAGTTTAGGGGTGAAGGTCTAGGGTAATGTAGGGGCCTTAATAATTAGAATAGGGCTTTGGGGTATATCATACTGTGGTTAGAATGCGAAACCCCCAGAATAGTACGGGCAACTCGGTAGGCCCCTATACTGTGATGGCTTCGGGAATTAGCATCGGTAGTATTATTAGGGGTAGACCTTAAAGGGTTTAGGGTTTAGGGNNTTCTGAACCCTACTGTTGGCTCTCTTACAAGGGACCTTATTGAGAGGGTCAATATCCCCAAGGGTCCCCCTAATCCTAACTCCTGCTGCCCTAAACCCTAAACCCTAACACCCTAAACCCTGAACACTAATCCTAAATCCTACTGCCCAAAACCCTAAACCTTAAATCCTAAACCCCTAACCCTAAACCCTTACACCCTAAATCGTAATCCTAGCTCCCATAGCAAGGCTCCTACCCTGAGCTGTCGGGGAACGAGGTGTCCTGACCGAGAACTGAGAGCCAAGACAACCTCACGACATAAGCCGCTTTCGGTTTAGGGTTTAGGGGTTTAGGGGTTTAGGGGTTTAGGGTTTAGGGTTTAGGGTTTAGGGTTTAGGGTTTAGGGTTTTAGGGTTTAGGGGAAGCCGTCAAACTCAAACCCTGAACCCGCCCGCCGCCCCACCCTCTCCACCCCGAAACCCAAACCCTATGTAGACCCCAAGCTATCCCGTATATCATAAACCTATATGACAGAGCCTCATCTAAGGTCCAAGCTTTAGGGTTGAAGATCGCTACTACAGAAACCCTTCGCCAGAGCTGAATGCAAGGTTACAGACCCGGTGCTTTTGAGTTCGAAGGTAGCTGTCGACATGTCTCATGCTCCATGTATCATGGACATACTATTGATCAGAGGCCCAAAATTACAAAACCCTAAACCCTTACCTACACCGCCGACCGCGGCGTAGACGACCCGCAAGAACTGTGGAAGACCCTCAGGGTTTGCTGTTTAAGGAGGTTTTACGATAGCCGGGCTTATCACAGTTTGGTTTAAGGGTTTCGGGATATAGGCTTTTATGGTTTAGGGTTTAGGGTTGGCTCAGGTTTCAGGGTTTTGGAAGATTGGCATGCTTCGGTGTTGGAAATAGCCCATTCAAACCCCGTCTAAGCTTTACCATGTCGCATAAATCTTGTAAGAAGCACCCAACAACTGCAAAACATCCCCTTCAGCGCCTTAGAAACTCTACAGACCCACGAACCCCCCCTCCACATTCTGCAAACTCGTTTGGAACCATATGGTATACAGGCGTGAATTTCTGAATAGTTTGAATGGTCTTTCGGAGCATTAGAAAACTACAGTCATAACAAGGAGTGCAAGGGGATAGTGTGACACCCTATAGACTCAACCCTATACCCTACCTATAGTCTCCATTCTAGTTCCTTTTTAGGGATACCTCATAAAATCCTTAATATATCATTGGTTAAACCAAATAAGGAACTACAATGGAGACTATAGGTAAACCCTAAACCGTGGCTCACCACTAGGGGTCCGGGGATAGGCTGAAGCCTTGTAAAGACTTAGCTGAAACCGCGCACCTCGCAGCGAGCTTGTGCTGGGTAGGCAGGGCCTGCTATTGAAAACCAACGCTAGGGCTTTGGGGCTTCAGGGAACAGGGTTTCGGGTTTAGGGGTTACGGTACACTTAGGCTTGTTGGTTTAGGGTTTTAGGTTAGGGTGAGGGTTTAGGATTTTGGCTTCGGGTCTTGGGTTAGGGGATTTAAAGTTTTGGGTTTAGGCTTCAATTCGGCCGGATTCTTATGTGGCCTCAACGGTTCACTTACTTCCACCATAACCCACGGACATGAACAAGTGCCTGAAGCTTCAAAACCGTACCCTGAAAGACTCTAAGCCCTAAGTCCTAAACCCCTAAACTCGAACCCTTAAACCCTAAACCCTGAACCCTAAACCCTGAAAGCCCATGTGCCCGTGGGTTGTAGTCCTTGGCTTCTTTCTTTGCAAACCTTAGAGTAAGCCCCAACAACTTGGAAACCGGATTAATGACAAATAGTGCTGGGATTCCCTATACATTACTAATTACTCTTGAGGATTGAGGCTATTGGGTTTCCAACTTTTGGGCTTCTACTGTGTGTCAATATTGCTAGCTTTTAGGAACTCCAGAAATCGTTAAGCTTTGGTGTTCAAGGGCAAAGTTTACCCAGAGGGTCCATATGCATTACCATTATGGAGTTAGGTCCCAACGGACCCTCCTTACAATGGCGTTGAGGGCCCTAATTCCATAATAGTAGCACGTACGGTTGATGATATAAGTCCTGCATTACCCAGAATAAGGAATATACATGATAATACCATGATTCCTATAGTTCAGGGTCCTTAAAGTAATGCAGGGATTTATACCATCAACGGCATGGATCCTCTTCGTTCGTGCTTCAGGATGTAGGGTTTAGGGTTTAGGATGTAGGGTTTAGGGTTTAGGGTTTAGGATGTAGGGTTTAGGGTTTAGGGTTTAGGATGTAGGGTTTAGGTTTAGGGTTTAGGATGTAGGGTTTAGGGTTCAGGGTTTTGGCTGCCGTAGATGCCCGGATACCTACAGAAGCAGATTGCTGTCGCGGGGTCGTACATACAACAAGTTCGGGTTTAGGGTTTAGGGTCTAGGGTTTAGGGTTCAGGGCTGTGGCTGGAATGTAGCAAAGGGCTACCACAGGGTTGGCTAGGGGAATTCCACAGATGCTGTCATGTCTAAGAAGATAAGTACTGTTATTCGGCTTGCCATAAAACCTACTGTTGATGGACAAAATTCTGCATGACCCAAATATAGTATAGTACCATAAACCCCATAGTTTAGGTATATAAGGTCATGCAGGATTTTGTCCATCAGCCGTATCACAACAGACACTCGCCAATGATCCGAGGAGACTTATGCGAACTCACCGGCACGAGAGATCCTGAACCCTGACATGAAACCCCACCTCACAGAGATAACTGGGCTAAACCCTAAACCCTAAACCCTAAACCCTGAACCCTAAACCCTAAACCCTTAACCCTAAACCCCAAACCCTAAGCCCTAAACCCTAAACCCTAAACCCTTTCGGGTGTCGGATGAGGGT